GATCTGTATGTTGTACAATGCCATGCTATACAGCAGTGAAAATGAATGCCATACAGCTTCATGTATCACCATAAATCTCAAGATACTCTGAACGTAAAAAAAGCATTATGCCATTTATATAAGTTTAACACATTAACTGCCATGTGAATTATATTTAACTCATGCTAATTTTGAGCTCAGGGCCTTGTGAAGCATATGTAACTTACACATCTCTTCACCTTGGGAGCTGTAAGAACTATTTTTCAAGTTGCATATAAGTCACACACAGAAAACAATAAAAATAATTTTTTCCTTTAAATTAGAAAGGATTATTTTGTTTTTGAAGTTTTCATTCCATTTTCATAATGAAACACCGTGGCCCCAAGGAAAAAAAATTTTTTTCTTTTTATAGTGTGGCAGTCATTGTGTTAAAAACCATCAACCACATTGTTAAGAATACATGCAAATATGATAAAACTTAAAAGGCATTAGAATGAGTAGCACAAAATTCAAGACACTAAATATGGAAAGACACATGGAGGGTTTCCATAGTACCAGGGTAGCACTCTGTTTCTTAATCTAGGTATAAATACACAGAAATTTTTTTATTATAATTCCTTACACTACATATGTATTATATATATGGTAAATTATTTTTTTAAAAAACAAACTCTTTTATTCTGTTAAGGAAGAAATCTGCTAGTCTTAGTAACTAGATGTATGCTAGAGTTATCTCCTAAATTGGTATTTGGCTATGCTTATCAGGATCCAGTCAAGTTAGCTGAGATTTAATCAGAAATGGTTGAGTCATTTCTATTTGACTTGTCCATTTTGCCCTCCATTGGGGAATGGGTTGAATTTCATTACTCTTTTATAGACAGTTCAGATACAGTGAATGATGAAATTTGAAGTCTGAAAATGATCCTAAATTAGCAGAGGAAGGGGGATAAAAAATGCTGGGGAGGTGGCTGGGTGCGGTGGGTCACCCCTGTAATCCTAAGCACTCTGGGAGGCCAAGGCAGGAAGATCGCTCAAGGTCAGGAGTTCAAAACCAGCCTGAGCAAGAGCGAGACCCTGTCTCTACTATAAATAGAATGAAATTAATTGGCCAACTAAAAAATATACAGAAAAAATGAGCTGGGCATGGTGGCACATGCCTGTAGTCCTAGCTACTTGGGAGGCTGAGGCAGAAGGATTGCTTGAGCCCAGGAGTTTGAGGTTGCTGTGAGCTAGGCTGATGCCATGGCACTCTACCCAGGCAAAGAGTTAGACTCTTAAATAAAAAGAAAAGAAAAGAAAATGCTGAGGAGGGATATAGGATTAGTATTATATTTTATAAAGAATAGTCAGCTAATGCAGAGCAGGTAACATTTGAGTAGAGACCTGAAGTGAAAGAACAGGCCATGCAGTTATCTAAAGGAAAAGTGTTCCAGGCAGTGAGAACCAGACATAAAAAGTCCCAAGGCAAGAGCATGTTGGATGTATTACAGGAAGAGAAGGGAGGACAATCTGGGGCTAGAGAGGACTGAGTGAGAAGGAGACTGGGAGAGTTGAGTGGGAGACCCAATTTATATATAGATTTGTTAACCATTGTAGGGACTTTTGTGTTTTCTCTGAGATAGGAAGCCATTAGGAAGGTTTGGAGCAGAAGAATGACATGATATGACATTATATTAAAAGGCTCATTCTGGTTGCTGTGTGAAGAAAAGATAGGGGAAGTAGGAGAGAAGCTTTTACAATAATCCAGGATAGGCGTAGGCTAAGTGGTCAGATATTAGATACATTTTGAAGATAGAGCTAACTTATTTCCTGGTGGATTCAACACGAAATGTGAAAGAGAGGTATCAAGACACATTTTTTTATTTTATAAATAATGCGGAAGTGATAATTTTTATAATAATCTTTCTGTATGTCTTTAATTTTTAGTATAGCTTCCTATAATAATTACTGATCTAAGAACATGAACTTTTGAGGCCCTTGATACATACTGTTCAATTGCTTTCCAGAAAAGTGTTATCAATTTATATTCCTACCAGCAATGTATGCATGCTTTCTTGCCAACATTAACTATTATCCTTTAAAAGAATTTTGTCTTGTTTGAAATGTAAAAAATGGTATTATTTCTTTGTTTTCTTTAAAAATAAGTATGGCTGCCTTTTATCGAGCACATAATTACGGAATGTATATACAAGTAGTCCTCTCTTTGTCCATGTGGGATATGTTCCAAGATCTTCAGTTGCCTGAAACCGTGGATAGTACTGAACCCTATATATACTATGAATGCATTTCTTTTTCCTTCTTCACGAGTTCATGGAGAGAAGATTCATTTTCACTGTAGATCTTAGCAACCTCAATATATGATTTTTTTTCTTATTGAGTCAAGAACTTTCAGCTGTTCACTTATAGGAAGCACTTTACAGCTTCTCTTTGGCATATCTGAATTGCCAGCATCACTACTCTTGTACTTTGGGGGGCATTATTAAGTAAAATAAGGGTTACTTGAACACAGGCACTGCAATGTAAAGCACCATCAATCTGATAACCAAGATAGCCATTAAGGCACTAACAAGTAAGTGGGTAGTATCTATATTGTGGATATGCTAGGCAAAGGAATGTTTCACGAGCCAGACAAAACAGAACTGGATAGTGTGAGATTTCATCACAGTAATCAGAATGGCACACAGTTTTAAACTTATGAATTAGTTATTTCTCAAACTTTTCATTTAATGTTTTCAGACCACAGTTGACCGCTGATAACTGAAACCATGGAAAATGAAACTGTGGATTAGGGGGGATTACTGTACTTAGCAGGCATAAATTGTGTTAAGTGCCTTATATAAACTATCTCATTTTACCTAATTATAGTGTCCCCATAAGATAGTATCTCAATTATGTAGAGAAAACTATACAGACCAAGAGAAGTTAAAAAGTTTTTATGAAAGATAATAAGTGGCAGATCTAGGATTTGAATTGAGATCCAAAGGCTTTACTTTTGAATAACACTTTTTTGATATAACTGCTTTTCATTGATTATTACTAAGATTTATTGTTTATTGGCCACATTCTTCTGTGAATTGATGGTTTATAATTATTTGCTATTTTTCTATTATAGTGTTTGTATTTTTCTTCTGATTTATAAAAACTCTATATTAATAATATTAACCCTTTTTCTTTCATTACAAATGCTTTCTTCTACTTATTTTTTTGCCTTTCAATTTTGTTTGTAATTTTTATATGTTGTAGTATTTTAATGGAGCTTTTGTGTCTTTTATTTTCCCCTGCTTTTTTTTCACTCAGTAAGTTGATTTACTGAACACAAATCCACATTTTATATTATTTTCATTTTACCAGTGGGTTGTTAATCTGCTTATGCCTACTTTAATATGTGCCTGTGCATTTAATTTAAATAAACTTTAATCTAATTTATAACTTATCAGCAATCTTCTAAGTCATTATTTCATATACATTAAGAACCTCAAACTTGCACCAATTTTTAAATTGGTACACAATCCAATTTATAAAATGATATTATATTTGGGTCAGAGTAAACAGAGTCTTCCCAAGGACTTCAGTGTAAATGATTAATGACAAAATTTCATTCTTTCCATTTTTGGAGAAACCTACCAAGAACTGAAAACTGAGTCAGATATCTTGAGTAGCTCCCATGTTCTTGGCATAGCTTCAACTACCTACTTCTCTCTGAAAATGTATAACCATCTTCAGAACCTATGTACTTTGGGGCCCTACCTCTACTTCATAGTGAATTAGCTGTGACTAATTTTGGTCTCTTGTTTTTTGAGGCAACGGCAACTTAGATAGATGCAGTGTTCCATGGGGAGCAGACAGTGTCTGAGATAGCTAGTGCTAATAGCAAAATATGGTTTCCTTCGAAAAACAAAAAGCATCAAGTATTTCAGCAAACCTTCTTGGGCTATATAACCTCTCATTTAGCCCAATCAGAATGTCCTGGAAAATAGCCAATCATGGCAAAGGCTAAAGTAGAAAATCCTAGGAAATGAAGTGTGTTCTCTGCCCTTCCAGGGAATAAAGTCATGGGAAGTGCCTGTATTTGCCTTATGAATTGGGAAGGTATTGAAATCAGAAAATATGCGGTTCTCAAAAATCAAAGTAGGCTGATTTTATAATGTGATTCTTATATTTACATTTTAAAGCAAGATTCTTTACTTAAAATTGTTCCAGTGAATTATTTTCTGTGAACAATTATTACCTTGTTTCTTCCAATGTCATTATGAATTAATTTAATTAACATGGACTAGAATCTGTCACGTATAATGGAATACATTTCTAAAATATCTAAATTGCAGAAAGGAAAATAAAATGATTTGGGAAGGCTAGACAAAAAAAAAAATTACCTGCTAATAAAATGGTTAAAATGGCTGTCCCACAAAACAAAACACAGAAATAATACTATTCTAGATTCTTCAGATTTTGAACCCTTCCTAGCTAGACGATTAGAGATATGGTTTATCTCTAACTAGCTAGAGATATGGTTTATTCAAGGGTTAGATTATGAAATTTCATATATCCAAAATTGCCCTTGAAAATTCCAATATACTGGAGTCCAACAGTCAACAATAGAGAATCAGAATTTATTGTTGGTTTGTGTTTAAAAACTCTATTGTCTTTTAGAATATGTACTTTCTCTTTAAACCCTAGAGTCACACTGTAGAGAGATGTTCAGACTATGGTAGGTACGTGGGGCTTATGAGCAACTGAAAAGCCAGCAAATTCATATCACCCATGTCATGCTTACCCCAGGATATGTGATTATTGAAAAATCAGTATAATTGCCCGTATCATTTACACAGGAAATAGTCATTTTTTTCTTTTATTACTGAGCTTATTATAGTTAAATTTGTGATAATTAAATTCATAAAGATAAAACTCCATGGTATACGATTATGTTGTTATGTTAAAGTTTTACCTGAAGTTTTGTATGTTTTTGTCCTTCAAATAGGAAAGAATGATGCTATACTATATTATGCCTTTATTCTCTACAGATAATGAATTCTGACTTAGTGCATAGTGTAGTAGGAAGCTATCTTAAACCTCCAGAAAGAATGTTTGTTTCATCATTCACCCAGAATGAATCATCTCAGAATCGCCAACCTATGAACTTAGAAGTTACTCCTTCTAAAGTGTTTCATAGCCCAAATAGCCAAGGTAATGCCGATATAAAATCTTATATAAAATTAGAGGAATTGTACAAATTATGTTATAAACACTTTCACTTTTGTGTAGAAAATAATATGATTGTTTAGTCTTAATAAAACTCCTAATTTTGATTCTATTGCTCAAAGTTTCTATGAATTTAGACAAGTTACTTAATACTTTTTATTTTGGCTTCTTCAGCTATAAAATGAAGATTAATATAACCAGCTGGACACATATTACAGGTTTATCATAAAAACATCCTTAGAAAGCAGGAAAATACTCTTTGAAGAATAACAGGTCAGATTTGGCATCCTTCTAAACTAGATTATTAGAATGCTAGTAAATTAGGTGGAGTTGTATCTTATTCAAGGATTACATTCAAATTGCATATATCCAAAATCATCCTTGAAAATTCTTTAGGAAGCCAGAATACTATAAAATACTAGTGTTGTAAACTTTTAAAATATAATTCAGAAGGATCTTAAAATTGAATTAGGGAAATACTTATGATCCCAAGTATAGCTTATGTCATGTACCATGTGAAGAGCAATAAATATAATTTCTTTATCTTATTTGTAAAAAACAAATGATGATCTCTAGCAAGCAACTTTCTAATTTTATATAAACTATATGGAAGTTAAAACTCTGAACTTAATCATGAAGATATTAATATAGCTGAATAAAAATCATAGTAGTACATGTGTACTATTTATCACCTTTGAAGCCTGACATCAGGTAAACCATACTTACAGTTAAGTATAACTTAAGTTATACTTTTTTTCCATAGAAGAAACTGTGTTCTACCTCATATGTCCTAATTCTTAGTACTACATCTTGGATAAAGAAAGAATAAATGTGGTATTTTTGTTTGTTTTTAGGCAATTTCAAGGACTTCAATTTTTTTCTTTTAATGCTTATGGTTTGATTGAAACTGAACACATCAAAAACTGAGAGAAACCTTTAACTTTGAACCTAACTTACCATGTTAATTTTAATTTTGTTTATACATACTCAGACTCTTATGCCTCCTAGACTATACATTATCTTAAGTCCTTTTATTTGAAAATATTTATTTTATTAAATTAAGTTGTGGTTATTAGCTTTCTCAATCCTAGAAATCATTAAATACAATCATAGATACATTGTTTTTATAAGATATGATGGAGAAAATGTGTCTGTCTTTAGAGTTTTAGTCATTTTTCATTTTTATGAAGAATATACTTATGGATTTTTCTGCCTCATTAACAAGAATATACTGCTCATTTTTTCATGTTACTGTGATTGTAAGTGTTCAGAAACTTTCACTTAAAACATCAACCACATTTTTTCCCCAACAGCTCTTATTTTAGCCTTAAAAACTCTTCAGGAAAAAATTCATCGTTTAGAACTAGAGAGAACACAAGCTGAAGATAACTTGAACCTTCTTTCCAGAGAAGCGGCACAATATAAGAAGGCCTTGGAAAATGAAACAAATGAGAGAAATCTGGCACATCAGGAACTGATAAAGCAGAAAAAAGGTATAAAATACAGTAGTTCTCAGAAATGAGGGGTTATCGGAATTCACAGTTTGAAAATAATAAACTTAGTCTAAGCAGATTTACTCAAACGCCTTTGTTCTTATATACATTCAAACCTTGTGGCCTTGTTCTCAGACATTTTGACGTTTGTGGGAAAAGGATGTAGCTTTGAACTTACCTCTATTATATCTGTTATATACCTCTATTATATCTGTTATCCCAGTTCATAAATTCTAAAATTGTTTTTAGATAAGTGGTATTTAGAAATTAGAATATTTTCAGACTGACCAACAAAATCTAGTTCAACCCATAATATAATTGAAATGCTTTATGTTTTTAGTTAATAATAAATTTTAAAATTTGAAATATAAAGCAATACTAGTAGACAATATAAAAACAATAAAAATGAATGAAAAAGAATTTAATTTGAGAGGAAAACAAGTTTAATTTGAGAAATAGGCAGATAGGTGGAGACTTCTGTGGAAATTATGACAAGAACATCTGAACACAAGAGTTTTAGAAATTTAGAACATAAGTCCTTCATATAATTTCACTTCAAAACTTATGTCTTCCTTTTTCCTTGTAACACTACATTGATCCTTATAAATAAGGCTAAGTTTGTGTTTCACCTTACAAATAAAATGAAGAAATAGGGGAAAAAAGATTTCTGAGGCAATTAGACAAAAGTAGAAGGAAAAGCTAAGGAAAGTAAAAAGTTAAAGGCTTAGAAATAGGTTGCTTACCCCCATGGAATTAGCTTTGCTACCAGTAGTAAAGAACAGAGGCCGGGCGCGGTGGCTCACGCCTGTAATCCTAGCTCTCTGGGAGGCCGAGGCGGGCGGATTGCTCAAGGTCAGGAGTTCAAAACCAGCCTGAGCAAGAGCGAGACCCCGTCTCTACTATAAATAGAAAGAAATTAATTGGCCAACTGATATGTATATAAAAAATTAGCCGGGCATGGTTGCGCATGCCTGTAGTCCCAGCTACTCGGGAGGCTGAGGCAGAAGGATCGCTCGAGCCCAGGAGTGTGAGGTTGCTGTGAGCTAGGCTGACGCCACGGCACTCACTCTAGCCTGGACAACAAAGCGAGACTCTGTCTCAAAAAAAAAAAAAAAAAAAAAAAAAAAAGAACAGAGGAAAATAGGAATGGTAAAGTACATATACCTGAGTTTCCTAAAGAATAAAAATAATTAATAGGTTAGAAACTTTACATCCTCTGTTTTTCTAGATGATATTTCCCAGGAACAACGAGGATATTTATCATCCCAGAAGTTACTGATATCATCCCCTTTCAGATGCCTTCTGGATTTTTAGGGAGAGACAATATTAAACCAATTATATATAATTAATAAGATATTCACAAAATATAAGTTCATAACTCTGGGAAAGTCAATACTTAGGGCTAAAAGAGGCTTTGAACTTTTAGCTCTTGATTGAATTCACATAATACATTTCTTGTGATAACCAAATCTCTGATCTCTGTGATAATCAATGAATTGACTCTTATTATTTTGTGTTTTTCATAGAAATAAGTGTACAGTTAAGCTCAGCCCAGTCTCGTTGTACCCTTCTGGAGAAACAACTAGAATATACAAAGAGAATGGTTCTTAATGTAGAGCGAGAAAAGAATATGATCCTGGAACAACAGGTAAGCATATTTTCTATAAGGAATGATAATATAATTTATTGTGTTTTGGAAGAATATTTAATTTAGCATGGGAAAATTACATTATAATCTTAAGTAAAGTAGGATATAAAGTTGTATTATAGGAGATTTCTGCTAATAGTAATGACAAACCAGGTCATTTGAACCAACCCAACTGCAGAGAAAAATTAGACAGAATATAGGAAGGAAGCACGGAAAGGGGAGGCAGGGAAAGACTGAAGGAAGAGACAAAATGATAGTAAATTCAGAAAACAGAAGATGAGTCATAATGTTAGAGTGAGAAGATCTAACATATGTAATTGGAATTTCAAAAGGAAAGGAGAGGGAGAATGGGAGAGGGAGAAGCAATATTTGAAGAGGTAGTGGCTGAGAATTTTTCAAAACTGATTAAAAAGTAAAGTCACATCACAGATTCAAGAAGCCCTATAAAACTGAAGCAGGATAAATATAAGAAAAGTTATATATAGACACCTTATAATAAAATAAATAATAAACCAAAAATAAAATATTAAATACAGCCAGAAAAAAAAATTACATTCAAAGGGACAGCAATTAATGTGACAGTTGACTTCTCAACTGAAAGTGCCAAATCCAAAAGATAATGGACTAAGAGAATTAAGGTACAATAACATTAAAAGAAAATAACTGCTGATCTAGAAATCTATGCCTGGGGAAAATATCTTTCAGAAATAAAGGTAAAATAAAAGCATTTTAAGAGTAACAAAACTGAGATAATTTGTTATCAGAAGGTAGACTCTAAAGGGAACACTAAAAGACATTATTAATCAGACAGAAGAAAAATTATCTTTGGTGGAAGGTCATAGGTACAGGCAGGAATAAAGAGCAACAGAAACAATAAATATGTGGATAATTCTAAGTGAATATTATATAAAACAACAATAATGCTTTATGTGGTTTAAATATACATGTATAAAGGATTAAAATTCATCAGAACAATTGCATATAAATTTGGAGGGAATAAATGTAGTTGAAAGTGGTTCTAACATCCTTACATTGTCTTGGAAAAGGGTAAAAATACCAATCAATACTGGACTTTGATGGGTCAAGCATGTGATAGGTTTAAAAGGAACTTGAGAGGTTGACTCTAAAATTTATACAGAAAAGCAAAGGTTCAGGAACAGATTATTCAGAAGGAGAATAAGATGAGGATCTTTCTCTACTAAATATTGAAACAAATTATAAATCTATTAAAATTGAAATAGTGTTATTTGTATGGATAGACAACTAGAATAAAGGAATAGGGTATAGTCAGACCCATTCATATGGAAACTCAATATATGATAGGGATATCATTGCAGACCATTAGGAAAACTCTCTAAGCATTTCATATTGTTTGATGCTGTTATGAATAGTAGTGGGGTTTTATTTCATTTTTCATTTGTGTATTACTGGTATACAAAAATATAATTGATTTTTATATGACTTTATATCCTGAGAACTTTCTAAATTTATTTATTAGTTCTGATAGTTTTCATATTTTCTAAGGCTTTTCTATATACACAATCATGTCATCCATGAATAAAAATAGATTTTTTTTCTTCTTTTTCAATCTTTATGGCTCTTATTTCTTTTTCTCACCTTACTGCACTGGCTGTTACAGCTAATACAATGTTAACTAGAAGTGGTTAGCACTGACATACTTGCTTTGTTCCTGATCTTTAGGGGAAAGCTGCTAGTCTTTCACTATTAAGTATGATATTAACTACAGGTTTTTGTTAGCTGCCCTTTATCAAGTTGTGGAAATTACCTTCTAAGTTTGTTGAAAGTTTTGGCACGACTGGGTGTCACATTTCGTCAATTGCTTTGTCTACATTCTTTGAGAGCATCATATTTTTTTCTTTTATTCTGTTAACATGGTAAATTACATTGATTGATTTTCAGATGTTAACTAACCTTGTATTCCTAGTGTAGTAGATCACCAGTTGATCTTGATTAATTTTTTTGTGCATGGCTTGATTCAATTTGCTGATATTTTGCTTAAGTATTTTTGTGACCATGTCCATGAGGGATCTTGATTTGTAATTTTCCTTATAATGTCTGGTTTTGGTGTCTTGGGTTTTCTGACCTCAAAAAATTAGTTGGTGCTTACATTATTTCATGACAGGGAAATAATAAGAAAAGGGAGAAAAAGAAAAAGAAAAAAATAGTTGGGAGGATTCCTTCTATTTTCTGAAAGATCTTGTGTAAGATTAGTATTATTTCTTTCTTAAATGTTTGATAGAACTCAATATTTGATAGAAACCATCAGGGACTGGAGTTTTCTTTATAGGAGGTTTTTAAATTATGAATTGAACTTATTTAACAGGTATAGGGCTACTTAGATTTTCCGTTTTTTTCCTATATCTTTAGTGATGTTCCTCTTTTCTTTCTGATATTGTTCATTTGTGTTTTTGCTTTTTAAGATAAGAATTAGTCAAACTGTCACTTTATAATTTTATTTATTTATTATTTATTTATTTATTTTGAGACAGAGTCTCACTCTGCCTGGGCTAGAGTGCCACGGCGTCAGCCTAGCTCACAGCAACCTCAAACTCCTGGGCTCAAGCAATCCTCCTGCCTCAGCCACCCAAGTAGCTGGGACTACAGGCATGCGCCACCATGCCCAGCTAATTTTTTCTATATACTTTTAGTTGGCCAACTAATTTCTTTCTATTTTTAGTAGATATGGAGGTCTCGCTCTTGCTCAGGCTAGTTTTGAACTCCAGACCTTGAGCGATCTGCCCGCCTCAGCCTCCCAGAGTGCTAGGATTATAGGCATGAGCCACCGTGCCCAACCTATTTTTTTTTTTTAAAGAAACAACTTTTAAAATTTTTTTCAGGTTTTTTTGTTCATTTTCTATTTCATTGATTCCAACTTTATTATTTTCTTCTTTCTAGGGTCTAATTCACTTAATTTTTGTCCTAGCTTTCTATATTGGATGCTTTAGGTGATTGATTTTAAACCTTTATTCTTTCCTTTTAAATATTATATTTTGCAACTAAAGCTATCAATTTTCTTCTAAACACTGAGTCCCACAAATTTTGCTATTTTGTATTTCTATTTCATTCAGTTAAAAATATTTTCGAACTTTTTTGGTGATTTCTTTTAAAATTCTGTTATCTGCTCCTCTTCATCCTGGTCCTATTCCTCCTCCTTTTTAATAGCTGCTCTAGGGGCTAAAATATGTATTCTTAACTTACTACAGTCTGCCATGAATTAGTATTAAAATATTTCACTTATAAGATCCTTTCTATGGTATGCTTCTACTTATCCCTCTTTGTGCTACAGTTTTCATATATTTTGCTTCTACGTATGTTATAAAACCCACAATACATTATTTATCCACATTTTTACTATTCCCAGTGTTTTCATTTCTCTGTGTAGATTTGATTTTCCATCAATTTTTTTTTTTAGTCTGAAGGAAAGTCTCTTAGCATTTATTTATCTGCAAAAGTCTTTATTTCATTGTCATTTGTGAAAGATATCTTGGCTGGATGTAGAATTCTAGTTGAAAGCTTTTTACTTTTAGCACATTAAAGATTTTATTTATTTTTTTTACAAGATCCTCATGTCTAAAAGATTTTTTTAAATTTGTCTTCTGGATTTCATAGTTTCCAAGGAGAATTCTTTATTCCTCTATGCATAATGTGTCATCATTTCTCAGGCTGCTTTTAAGATTTTTTTCCTTTATTAAGTATGGTTTTCTTGTATTTATGCTACTTGGACGTTCTGAGATTCTTAAATCTGTCAGTACTTTTTACTAAATTTAGAAAATTTTTAATCATTATCCTTCAAATAATTATTCTGTCCCACCTCCCTCTCCTCTCCTGAGAATCCAATTAAATGTAAGACCACAGGTCACCAAGACTCTGTTTATTAGTGGTTTTTTTGTTTTTGTTTTAACTAATAGACTTTATCTATTAGAGCCATTTTCGGTTTATAGAAAATTATAGAAAATTGAGATAGTACAGAGAGTTCTTCTTGTGCCCTCACAGTTGTCCTTATTATTAATATCTTTCATTAGTGTGGTAATAAATACCATTACAAAACAGTATATAGATGTGCATATATATGTGCAAACTTTCCTTTTCTCCTATGCTCTTTTTATGGTATATTCCTCTGATAGCTGCTTTCCTATGTTAGAGTTAGAGAGAAGGTAAGTCAATGAGTAGGTTTGGTCACCTAGTATTAATAAATAACACTGTTTAATACAGGTTTTGTTAATGATTTTTTCTTTAGTAGAATAGTTATATAAAGATGAATAGAAGAGTTTGTTCCATTGATGCTAATACAGCACATCTTTTTTGTTATATTATATTTGCTCCTTAAAGGTATTTGATTTTGCTTGTAATCACCTGAAATATGTACATGTTTCTTATGACAGATTTATATTGCGTTTTGAATTATCAGAATTTGTATTATTCTTGATTCATTGGTAACACTTGCCAAATTCCAGTTTTGTTTTTATCCTCTCCAGGCCCAGCTTCAAAGAGAAAAAGAACAAGATCAGATGAGGCTGCACGCAAAACTTGAAAAGCTCGATGTCTTAGAAAAAGAGTGTTTCAGACTTACAACAACTCAGAAAACTGCTGAGGTAAGCTTCTACTTGTTTCTTTGAAGTGATGATGGTGGGAATAAATCTTTAGTGCTAAGCATAATTGGCATTGTATGTGAATGTACAGTAAAATCTTAGATTTATAAAATTTTATTTACAACTTTTTTAATCCAGATATGAATTTCTACCTATAAAGATGAAAAGTTAATGTGTTCCATAATGGCATAAATGAGCTTGTCTTTTGATGTAAAATTGTAATTTTGACTTCTGCTAATATGGCAGAACATTTGTATTTGGCAGTTAAGTTACCTAAAGAATATTGAAAAGATTGTCTTTCACCACTTGCAGTCAGATTAAGCCTATTTTAGATCCCCTCCCTCTCCTTTTTCCACCCAAATCATTTCTATTTTATAGGATTTTCTCTAGGAAGCCTTCTTGAGCTCTCCAACATAAGTGGTAGAGAAACTTTGAGGGTACTAATGGTCTAGAACTCAGGAAGTTCTCTCTTTGAAATAGTACTGTCCTCCTATTTTGAACCACACAACAGATATAAGATGTAAATACTTGTGTGTATAACATTATATACACATGGTTATATATATCAGTCATTCATGTCAAATAATATTCATTGCTTTGTTGCTTTATTGTTTTGTGTATATTACTCTTGTTTACCTACATATAATAAAGTATCCCTAACCTGAAAATATGAAATCAGAAATGCTCCAAAATCCAAAACTTTTGAGCACATGGTACTCAGAGGAAATGTTCACTGGGGCATTTTGGATTTTGGATTTTGGGATTAGGGATACTAAATCCATATTGAAAATATTCTAAAATTCAAAATCTGAAACACTTCCATTTTCAAGCATTTCAGATAAATGATACTTAACCTGTATAAGCTCTTAAGTAACAAGGACCACATATTATCTTTCTAATATGTCTTCCTTCCTTCTCTTTCCCCCCGAAATTGTACCCTTATATGTACATGATAGAAATTTATTGTTATTTTTGTATGTTTTGAATGAAACATTGAGACCCAGACTATAATAATTTGACCTTCTAGATCTTTAGTAACCTCATAAGTTTCATCATTCTAGTTTTGTTGCTAGAAGTTGGAAGCCTATGTGTGTATACATTGTTTGCTTTCCCTTTGTTTTCTTTATGTGTAATAGTCAGTAAAAGAAAAAAAGCAGGAAGAAAGCCAAGAAAAATCTTAGCATCTTTTGCCATTCCTTTGTCTTCCTTTCAGCTTTAGCTTCCCAAACTCTTAAAAATCAAAACCACTAGAATTCTATTTGGAAAAGAAACAGGAGATATTTGGCTCTAGTTTATTTAACAATCCCAGTTTTCAATTCTTTTTTCAGGACAAGATTAAACATTTAGAGGAAAAACTTACAGAAGAAGAACATCAACGTAAGCTATTTCAAGATAAAGCTTCTGAGGTAAATAGAGTAATAATCTGTCATGGTAACCATATATGTTTTATTAATATTATACTTTTATTTTTCTTAACTGAAAATTAGATTCTAATTTCTAGATTCTAATTTCTACTTCCTACCTTGTTAGTTTTGTCTCTTTTGCTGTAATAATGAAATTCTCAACCAGCCAGTATATTCATTATGCTTAGATGCACTGCCAAGAGTTCTTTTAATCTTTTGAAATTCTGATAAATACATATATAATACTTCATTCTCTTATAAACAGAATATTATTATAATTATTAATATACTTAATAACTTTCACACATACACAAAATAGTATTTTAGATTTTTTTCTTCAAAAAGCACTTTTATATTAATAAACTGAGACCTGACCTCTCATTATAATGTTTTTGAAGAAGCATGTTACAAATCAATTTTGTGAGTTTTTTCTTTACTGTTATAGCTTCAAACTGGACTTGAAATCAATAGAATTTTAATGTCTTCAGTTTCAAATCCAAAACATTCCAAGGAAAAGAAGAAATCTTCAAAGGTATGCATATAAAACTTTTTCCCAAATAACACTTTCTTATTTGCTAATATTTATTGACTTTTGTAATGTTTATGCCTAACCCATTTACAGAAAGGATTTGAAGAGATATATAATAAAAGACATGGAATACTGCATGTCAATGGATTTGGGTGTAAAGACAGAAAATTTCATAAACCCAGGTTATAGAAAGTAATGGCAGTTATGCATAAAACTTAGCTCTGAGTTTGTTAGCAACCAAAGCAAAAAAGAACACATAATGGACAGTATAGCTGTCTTTGTGAAATAACATGAAACACTTCAGTTTTTCTAGAAAGATAAAGATTTTCCTAGTTTTAAACTCCTGGAGAAATGTATTTTGTGATACTTTATAAAAGAGGCACTAAACAACACAGTAGATGCTGATAACACAATAAATCCTGAAAGCAGTTTTATGTAATACATGCACAATAAAAAACAGTATTTTTTTTTTTTTTACAGACCTGTTAACTTACAGGTTATATAGGGAATTTCTATAGGGAATTTATTATTATTTGTTCTTTCTATACTCATATCCTTTGAATTTGCCTGAAAATAAGGATTGGGGAGTTAGTACTTTATAGATTGACCAATATTTTGTTTAGATGAATTGATGTTTTGGATATATTGTAGCTTTACCTTCTTAATTATATATAATGGTAAGAAAAAAATTTAAATCTCTTTTAATCTTATGATTCTAGGATTATAGTTTTGATGACCATTATTACTATTTATTCATTTTGCATGTAGTGAGTGTTTCTGTGTGCCATTTGCTATGAGAGTCAGGGATGCTATTTGAGAATTCTGTCCGCTACTGTATGCTTACTCTGTGGATAAAATAATGGAGAGAACATAATACTTAACTTTGGCTACTTTTTTTAAATTTTTGAGACAAAGTCTCACTGTGTTGCCTTGGGTAGAATGCAGTGGTGTAATCATAGCTCACTGCAGCCTCCAACTCCTGGGCTCAAGAGATCCTTCTGCCTCAGCCTTCTGAGTAGCTGGTACTATAGGTGCATGCCACAATGCCCAGCTAATTTTTCTATTTTTAGCAGAGATGAGGTCTCACTCTTGCTCAGGCTGGTCTTGAACTCCTGATCTCAAGTGGTCCTCCCACCTCAGACTCACAGAGTGCTAGGATTACAGGCAAGAACCACCATGCCCAGTCCTCTTTTATTACATAAATAAGAATTAATATTCATTACTTTGGCTGTATTTTTCATAATTTTTTCTTTTAAAGAATGTTCAAACTACAATAATGAAAAACATTTTCCCAATGCAACTTTATATGTTTTTTGCTTATTCCTTCCTTAAATATTTGTTTTGTGTCTTGTTTGTGCAGTGAGATTCAAAGCCACAAAGCCAAATAGAAAATCACTATCAGTAATTTGCAAGAAGAACAAATATTGACTTATTCATTGTAAAAATAGTGAAGGTGCAGGGAGGTTGAAAAAAAAAGGGAAGAAAAAGTAGCTCCTGGAAGACAAGAGAATAATTAACAGCAAAATCACTTTATAAAAGTACTTAGTTCAAATTACAAGTTCATGAGATTTGCAAATTATACTGTCTCCCTTTAATGATGAAGGGACATTAATGTTGCTGAAGGTAGGACCAGATTTCAGGAAGCCTCTATGACAGACCTGCTTCCACTCACACTGTGTCTTCATATCCTCGACATAACTCAGAATTCATTCAACTTATATATCTTGATGCCATAGACTGGTGTCTCTATGTAATAAAGAGGTAAATTTATGAGAAACAGATAAATATACAAATATTAGAGTATAATAAAAGCTTAAAAGAGGTATAAACAAAGTGTTGTGGTGCTGTGTAGATAAAGAAATATGTGAAGGGTAATGCAAAAAGCAGCACTAAAGACAGCTGGGTAGATTAATAAGTATTGACAGACCGAGATGAGGAGAAATGTATTACAGCTTGAGGAAATTGTTGGTTTTTCCAGGGACCTATAGGTCCAGTAGTGGTGGTGAGCCGGGGTCATAGTGAAATTAAAACTGAAAATGCAGGATGGGGTGAGATAATGGCTAACCTTGAATGCCATGGTAAAAATTTGAACTTTTATCTATAAATAGTTGAGAACCACTGAAGGCTTCTGAGAAGAATATGGACATAATTAGTGCTGTAATTCTAGATGGTAACTGACAGCAGTAGGAGAATTTATATAGTTTTATCACATGTGTAGATTCCTGTACCCATCACAACAATCAAGATACAGAACTGTTCCACCACCATAAGGCTCCTTCATGCAATCCCTTTATAACTACACATCGCTTTCCCTGACCACTGGCAACATATAATCTGTTTACTATCTCTATAGTTTGTTATTTCAAGCATGTTAAATAAATACAATTATACTGTGTGTAACTTTTTGGGATTGGCTTTTTTTACTCAGCTTCTGGGATTGGCTTTTTCCCTTTGAGAGCCATCCAAGTTGTTGCATATATCGGTACATTTTTTTATTACTGTATGGTATTTCACATAATGGATGTACCACAGTTTAACCATTCATCTGTTGAAGGATATTTGATTGTTTCCAGTTTGAGGTTATTTCAAATAAAGCTGCTATGAACACTTGTGTACAGGTTTTTGTGTGAACATAAGTTTTCATTTCCTGGGATAAATGCCTAAGAGAGCAATTGTTGGGTTATATGATGAGTACTTGTTTAGTTTTATGAGAAACTGCCCAACTGTCTTCCAGAATGGTTGTACCATTTTGTAGTCCCACCAACAATATATGACCGATCCAATTTCTCTGCATGCTTGCCAACATTTGGTGTCACTATTTTTGATTTTGGCCATTCTGATACATGTGCAGTGATATTTCATTGTAATTTTAACTTGCATTTCCCTAATAGCTAATGATGCTGAATATCTTTTCATATCTTTTATTTGCCATCATACGTCTTTTTCAGTGAAATTTCTGTCCATGTCTTTTGTCTATTTTCAAAATGCATTGTTTATTTACTATTAAGTTTTGAGAGGTCTTCATATTATAAATATCTTTTAAGATAAGTTTTTGTTTACTTTTCCCTTGTCAATCTCCAGAAAATGAAATGTTTAAAGAGAGGAGCACCTCAGCAAATTTATTCAAACTTTGGAGCACTGCCTTTTGTGTCTGAAAAGGTGAGAGAGAAAAAAGTAAAGATAGTTGTTCAAAAAACTCCTGCTTCATTGTAAGTGCTATTTAAATGTCATCAGTTGTTTAAAATTGTTCTGAGCTATTTCTTTTCCCCTTAAGTCTTCCAGTGCAAGCTGCTCTGTGAATGCGAGTGTGCAAAACCTTCTGCAGATGATGCAACGTTGTGGCCCACATATCCTTCAGAAACCTTCTGAAGTGACTGAGCCTAGATGTCTCTACAAGCCTATTAGAAAAACTTCTCAGTGTAAAGCTATACCTTCTGACTCAGAAAAGTCCGTTTCCATTTGTGACAATTTATCTGAACTTTTAATGGCATTGCAGGATGAGCTGGACCAAATGAGTGTGTAAGTATTTTTATTCTTTATCAGGAGAAGTAGAAAGATTCTTAGATATCCTTTTTTCTTCTCAGTCTTAAGAGCAGTGCCGTTTATAAATTCTTAAAGGTCTTACCTGGCCATTTGAACAGATTTATTGTTACTGATTTTTCATTGTATTTATTGGTACTATTTAAAATTTTAATTGTGTGTAATTACTATTATTCTAATCTAAGGAGTTTCTATATTCCCAAGATCTGGACTGATAGATAGATATTACTATCATTCTAATACATAGGGTCTGGTGACCTTAGATTATAACTCATAAAAGATTTTATAGAATCTTTTAGTTAAATGAATGATTTCATTACACAAGTAGGAATGAAATTCCTTATTTTAGACTTTGGTAGGTCTGCATTACAAATTTTGAAGCAGCATCCACAGTAAGGAAGATTTCTGTATGGGATACATTATATAATGCCCCATGTTTAAATATATATCCAACAGAAATTCCAGAACTGTGTGATTTGGCTGGCCAACTAGTTGATCTAAGACTTCTGTAGAAGATATAGCTAGTTATTACATATTGACATTATTTCATAGAGTAAGCTAACTCTAAATCCAGGGATTTCTCAGGCAAATATTTTCACAGCTGGAATTCTTTCAAAAATATTGCATCAATAATTCTGAGTTGGAATTATTTAAGAAGAGAGCCATTTAATGCCTCTAGTTAAGGACATAGAACAATTGACAACATTTAGCTATGAGCATCAAGAATTCAGATTTTTGTTAAAAGTTGTTTAGCAGCTTACGTTTAAGATATTTCTAATTGTATTTAATCACAAGAGCCTGATTATATTTACCATATATTTAATTACACAACCCTAATGGAAGAAACTGTTTTTGAAGATTAATATTTAACTCTGACTAAAATTTATGATTGAACAATGTTTTAATTATGGCAAAAACATATACTATAAACTATAACAGTGCTTGATATTTGCTTTCCTTTCATAGGGAGCATCAAGAATTACTGAAACAAATGAAGGAAACTGAAAGCTATTCAGTCTGTGATGACATAGAATGTGAACTAGAGCATTTAGTCAAGAAAATGGAAATTAAAGGGGAACAAATTTCCAAACTGAAGAAGCATCAAGACAGTGTAAGAAGGCTTTAGTAAAATATTTTAATAAAAAGATAAAATATCTGGATTTACTGTTACATCTCTGTATGACCTTCCAAATTTGAGGTCCATGTGTGGGATTTAGTGACAAGATAGACAGAAATAACTTAGACTTGTTACAGAATAGAGCCATTGGAATAATATGGGCCTCCTACGTAACTCTCTCAAGTTAATATTTTTAAAAATGAGCAAGAAAGTTTAGTTGTGTATTTAGAAATGGCTTTGGGGAAAATGTAAGGTAGGGTAATTTTACCTTAGCAGCTCTCTGGTTGCCCGTTTAGCATTCTTTTCCCTTATCCTTCTCTCCTCTAATGCCTTAATGATGCCCCTTATATCAGCAGGTCTCTAATTCAGTACCATACATAAACCTGGCTCCTCATGCAGTACCCCAATCTCTAAAGCACTATTTCCCCTTTCTCAAAACATGCCGTGCTGTGTTCCATTCCTGGGGACCTGTACTCACCTAGCTAAAGTGCGTAGAACAGGTGTGGTAAGGGGAACTCTGTACTTGTTTGAGAAGTCTTAAGAACAAAGAATAGCATAACAATTTTAGTATTTGAACAGAAGAATCATGGAATATAATATTTTATCCCAAGACAATGACTCCATAGGTTGAATTTTCAGCTACTGTTATACTGCTGGAGCACAAGGCATAAGGAGCCTTTCTAGGAACCTACAAGCCTCATCATGTAACCATCTGCCTATGGATATAATCATCATTCATATAAGTTAGTGATACATTAACCTCACAAATAAGCCCTGCCCCCTTTTATAGGAAAGTAATAAAAGATGTAGAATGTGATTGCCTTTATTCTCTTATGGCCAATAAAGAAAGAAATGAAACTTTTGAAACAAATATTTTTACTTTATTGGCTTTTAAGGTGATAGTAAATAAGAATTTTCATATGATTGTTTTAGAGCGAATATTATACAACTATATACTTTCTTGGAATTACATAGGAGAAACTTGAAAGGAATAAAAGAATAATCATATTTTTAAAACTTAGTCTATATAATATTTTGAAAAGCAAAATTTATATTCTATAACAGCTATAGCAGTATAAATTTTCAAACATTTTATGATCAATTTGATAATATCTGTAATAAAAATTACCTCTTAGCCAAATAGAGAAACAGGTAATCATCTAAAGTCTGGATCAGCTCTACAAATTAGACCTATGCATAAGTGAAATAGACAAAGTAATGGGTTAGACTTTGAAGAAATGTTTTTTAATTAGTTGATAGGTATTATTTTTGTTTTAATTCTATCTGCCCCCATTATTACCAGACACTCCTCAAAAGATAAAGTTATATTTATTCCCTTGAATTTTTTTAAATATTCAATAGTACTTTAAACTCAGGAATACTTTTAAGATTTCATATGTATGTATGTGTGTGTGTGTGTATAAGTATGTATATATATTTGACGCTATAAACTCAATGCTCATTTTAAAACCAATTTGCTTTGCTGGTAATATCACCTAAAAGGTCCTTTTCCTTTATTCTCCAGTTTTTACCAGTTTCATATCTTCCATACAACCTTTTCTTCAACTTCTCCAGGCCATATTGATCTTGTCCTACTTTGGTCTTCTTACATACACATTTTTTGTCCTACTCAAACTTATCCTGGCTTGAAGTATTCTCTAGCTGTCATGTATATGCTTTTATTTCACTAACAGCAATAAGCTCCTTGAAAGCAAGAACTGTTTTATTCATTACATTTCTACGTGACTAGCACGGTATTAGGCATGTAACAAATGTTTGATAAGTAAAAACTTACTGAATTGAACTTTTTAATTTAATGTAATCTTTAAACCATCAATGCAATCCATCTATTGTAGAATATATTTTCAGTATATTTTTTACTAAAAATATTAGATTTTTTTTCTTTCCAGGTCCGTAAACTGCAGCAAAAAGTTCAAAACTCAAAGATGAGTGAAGCTTCAGGTATTCAGAGAGAAGACATCTGCCCTAAAGGATCAAAGAACATAAAAAATAGCCCCAGAAAATGTTTGAATGAAACTAATCCTTTTCAGAAAAACAACAACTTTCATCCAATACGAGTTCATAATCTTCAAGTGAAATTGAGGAGAGATGATATCATGTGGGAACAGTAACACAATAGCAGAACTGTGTCACCTTAAATGAACTTTGTCAATGAGATCTTGAGTTGTCTAAAGTGGTTTTAATTTAATATACCTTTGTGAAATTTTGAATTATGTTTCTAGCCTCTATAAAACATGAAGTTGTAGTATTTTTAAATTAATACCTAATGACCTACTAAGAGTCCCAAATAAAAAATGATTGCTTTTTTATTTTTCTTATTAACAAAAGTCCCCAACCTTATCATGTCTTAGAACTTTGTTCAGTTTGCAAATATCTTAAGCTAAATCTAAGAAACTATACTAAAATTAACTTAAATCTGAGATACAAGTACGATTCCACTTTTTTATTTAGAAGGCTTATAATCTTAAGAATTAATGTTAAATGAACAGAGTACAGAAAGGTCTTTTAACTTTCCTGGTGTTTTTCCTGGTGTTTCCTCCCTATCCTGTTTTAAAGGTATGAAATGTTTGTCTCTTTTGAAAAGTGAAAAGCATTATAGTCCTCCAGTTTTGTGAAGAAGCTTTTAATCAAAGTTTTATGTGACAATTACAAATAGGAACCCATAAACTTAATTTTTAGGAGATAAAGTTATAGTTATTTCCTCAAGTTACTGTCATAACTTCATTGCAGAAGTTTTCTTGTGCTATTCCCATTCTCTTTTAAAAATCTAGTTTCTTAAATACCAGTGGCTTATTTTATCTTACTTTATAACTTTGGTGAATTTTATTCTTTGCATTGTGTATAATGTTCATCCATGTAAATTGAGATTGTGAATTTAAAACCTACAAAAGTGATATATTTTTAATAAGAAAGTATAGGAAGAAGAAATTGCACATTTAATTACCTTATCCAGGGAAATATGGTACATTTTTATTTTTTATATTTTAAAATCAATGATGTCATAATAGATTTCTTTGTGTATACATGCTTTATAATAAATTTGCACTTGTTGACCTATCATTCCAGAAGTCTATAGAAACTAGTATGACTCTTCTGTACTCTTGGTTTCTCACTCAAATCCTCTGGAGCAGCTAGAGAACTGGAGTCATCAATTGAAGTAAATATAGAGGACAGGCAGGAGAGGTGTAATAGCAGGGAGGAGCTCAGAATATAGGGTAGCAGTCTAAGAGATAGTGATTCCGAAGGGATAGATGGACATGTTTACTTATTCTCTGAATCCTCAGCGGAGGCAGTGTTCAAGATACAGGTGTGAAAAAATATTTAGGTCAGGATCTCAGGAAGCTGAGAAAAGCTGAGAGAAGCTCAGAAAAGCAGTTTTTTAAAGCCAGTTTTTCTTTCTGTTTTCCTAGGTAATTCCCAAAAAATGTGTGTAGGAGAAAGTGGGTAATTGTGGACCTTCTGGGGAGAAGGAGAACTGTGATTCATTCTAATGGTGAGAAGAGGTGCCATGTTAGAAGATCTTTCCATGCCTGGAAATGGGGAGAGGACTGAAGATGGGCAGATTGATACTTGGGATTGTCCTGGAAAGTAATTAGTGGCAGAGATGAAAGTTTCTCTCCTTCTGGTTTAAATAGTACATGTGCCCTTTGCTGGCTTTTTTTTTCCTTTTATTTTATCATATTATGGGGTTACAAATATTGTTAGGGTTACATATATTGGCCCTGCCATTCCTCCGCCCGCCCCCCGCTTTGCCAAAACATCAAGCAGTCCAACCCCCAGGTGGTGCGACCGCACCTATTTTGTAAGTATATATCCTTCCCCTCCTTTGCCGGCTTTGACACCTCCTCCCCCATAAGCTCCTTAGACCTGGAGATGTTCCAGAGGGTGTTTCATCTGAACTCAGTTTTATCACCTTACCTATTTTTCTACTGTGCCTTTCATCCTTAAGGATATGAGTTTTATAGTTTAAACTTATCAAAAAACCCACCAGGACCATAATACAGCCCTATATTTCTGTGCCTTTGTTTCCTATGCATTTAGAAAGGGAACTGAATATATTTAATTTATCAATAAAGTCATTACTTGTGAAGATGTATTGCTAAAAATAATTACCATAAAAAAATTTAAGTCACTTTAGGAACACTTGAATATTTCAATTGAGAATTCCCTCAGCAAAAGGGTTGACACTGAAAAACTCAATAAACGTTTTTTGAATCTGAGTAACAAAAAAGAAATCGTTGTAGAACACAAGTTTGCGTGGTTTAAAGCCTAAAAAGCAAAGACCTAAATATATTCTTAGTAAAAGTGGGAAGATTCTAATTTATTTAGGTCCTTTTTTCTTTTTTCTTATGTCTAAAGAGAAATTGCTTTGGCTTCTTTCCTAACCCAGGTTTCTAATGGGTAGAGGTAAAGAATACAGTTCTACCATGGTACAGAAATATACATAGTTACGTACAGCAACCTGATTTGGAGTCTGTTTTGGTTGCTGAGGTGACATTTATTAGTGAGGGACAATAAATAATGGTGTCTTGGTGCTCCATTACAGCAACTGAACTGAAAATGTATCTCTGCTGACAGACTGCATGCTTGCCAAGGCCTTAGACTCTTCAGGGGGTGGAGCAAAAGATTTCTTTCCTGGATGGGGCAGTCTATGGTCAGTGTACAAGAGTTGCTATAGCAACTCCACAGCTGTGCTCTGCCTAGCAGAAACTTAGTATGATTTCATTGATTTTGTTCACTTAAGTAAAAAGCAGAGTTGTTTTTTTTTTATTTATTTAGAAATTGCAAAAATGGAATTTTCTAGCCAAGGCAGCTCTCAACATTGATGAAATTGTGAAACTAGAGAGTTCCAGTGTTTGAAGCAGCAGGTATTGTGAATATTCTAATACTGGAAAAAGGGAGTTGAAATCTTGAATTAACTGTACTTGGGTGGGTCATTGGCAACCCAGCCATTTTTATGAGGTTCTAGCTAAACATAGAAAAGTTAAAGGGAAATGTTCAGTTTTCAACAATGTAAGATTAAAGTGGGAGATACTTATTGTAGTAAACTGGCGGGGAATGGTGTACTTGAAAATTATCTTCAAGATTTTTTTTGTAGCTTTATTACTTTAAAAGTGTAATTTTAACATAAAGTAATATTATTAATCTGTGATAAAATATCAAAAAATTAAATAAAAATTTGACATGTAGAGATCAGTCTAAGGGAGAAAAAGCCGTTTGGTCATGCACAATGGAAGGCATGAATGTTGTGGCCAGAATTGCACCAGCTGCCATTATTGGTGTAGAGCAAATAATGAAACTCTTAATGGGGTTTCCTGGAACTCTATTCAGCTGTAACTAAAGCTTTGCCTACTGAGAATGCTTAATTTTATGTAAAGTTCAGATAAGTATAAGCTGACTCCCAGACATATGACAAGACAAACCTCTCTAAGGCATAATAGCATCTGTGAGATTTTAAAAAGGCTCTTTATAGGTGCCGTTACACTTTTAATTAAAGCGAGATGAGGATAAATAAATAAAAATAATATTGACTGTCACTAATATGAAAATAAATTTACTTCTTGGTAATTAAATAGACCTTGTCAACACCTCAGCCTTTTTCATCCTATCTTATCTACTTATTTTCATGCACTTTTCTTTCAATTCCTTTTTGTTGGTGGTGGTGGTATTTTGTCATGTAAAGAAAATTAGACATAGAAAAATATAAAGTTAAGGCTTTAAAATAATGTCTGGGCAGAGTTTGTTTTTATTATAGCTGTTGAGTAATTGTCTACTTAAAGAATTAGGTGGGTTTTTTTTCCTGGTAGGTTTACTGGTAGTGTTTTTATTGGAATAGATTCATTGAATTCCCATTTGGTGCAAGATTTTACTAAATGTCATAGGCGATCATTAGAATTATAAATTACCACCATACCACCAAAGAAATTTATTTTTTATTATATATGCATGGTCTAATGTGTAACTATGTGTTTAACAGTTTTAGGAAAGAACACTAGAGAAGAAAATTTATCTCCTATTACTTTATTCTCTGAGGCAAGTTCGTGACAACATAAGACTAGTTAATGACCAGTTCAACAGTCTGGTTCATGAGCTGAAGGGGAAGGGGGATTGGATCTTGGGGTTTGGGGTTGTGGGAAGAATGTTGGGGATTATGAGTTGTCTGTCAAAGGACAAGTAAAAAGTTATATGAGTAATATAATCAGCTTTCTAGAAAAATCTTTTAAAATAAAGGTGGTGTTATCCACCATACTCTCTGCCTAAATTTTTCCTTCTTTGTCTTTGCTTGTCTAGCTTTCCCTCAATCTTCAGGTGTCAGTTTATATCTTCCTCTAATAAGCCCTCTTTAAGCCCCCTCTCATCCCACTGCCTCCTAAATCTGGCTTAGCTGCCTCTTCTAGGTATTTCCTCCTATCTTTGCATTTGGCACACTTTCTTCTTATTTGTCTTCCCCACAGACTGACAGCTATGTGAGGGCAGGGTGCTTTCTTGCTTACCACTGTAGCCCAAGTACCTAGCACATTACCTAGCCCCAAAGTAGCCTCTCAGTAAATGTTTGTTTGGTAATTTTATTGCATGAAAATACATTAACCTTATTTGGTGGTCTTACCCAAGTGAACATATTGGATTGGGCACTGCTGTTTCAGGTCCCAGTTCAGCTGTTCTACTGAATTGCCTTTCCAGGATATGTGAACATATATTGCATAACCACAAGTTAAAAAGAGCCCAATATTATTTGCTTGGGCAGGGTGTGTTTTCACAGACAACAGGTACTCAGAATGATGTTTTGTTTGATATTATGATGCCAAGGGTTTCTTATTTGGATATCGGTATGTTTGACTTGCTTATTCAGCAAGTACTTATTTATCTCTAATAATCAAGTATTGATCTAAAGATACGGTGCTAGATGCTATGGGAGATTCAAAGACATATTATGTGTAGATTCTGTCTTCAAGTTAGTTATAGTCTGGTAAGGGAGGTAAGACATGTATATAAGTTAAAAGAGAACAATAGGTGCCATAAGAGGTATAATAACCACCACAGAGCAGATGCTCAGTAAATATTTGCCTACTATAATAAATGTTTGTTCTCATCTATTGATAAAGTGCTTTGGGAGTTAGCCTGTTTGTAATTTCTCCGTTCTTGATCTTTATTTTTGTAGCTTTCACTTGCTTTTTTGCCTGGTAGCAATATTCATCTAGGATTGTCACTCTCTATTAGGCTTGTTGATTGAGATACCAGTTCATTTAGTAATTCCAAACATATGCTATCTACAACCAGTCTATAACTAGTATCAAATTCAAAAGCATGAGTAGTATAAGTGGGTATGAAACATTGAAGTAAATGGTAAGAAAATGGGGAAAAATCAAACAATAATGACTTAGACTAAAACAGAAAAATAAGATATATACAGAAAAATTGTATTCTAGAGGCCAGTTATTGCCTTGCACAGAATTATGCAAATGATTGCTATTAATTTCCTTATGAACTTAAGCCACTCCATTTCCTTATACTTTGGCTTCTTCATAAGTTGGATCAAATCAGTGTTTTTCAAACTGTAGGTCATATAATATTAGTGGATTGTCAAATCAAGTTAGTGGGTCACTACCAGCATTTTAAAAATGATATAGCATTGAAAATACCAGAGCACATCATACATAATAAAGGTAGCTAATGTTTTGTGAAACATTGTGAATACTGGATTATAACTTTGAATGTAGCTCTTAATGTTGTTTAGAGAAGAAAAAGTTGGTTCTTAATGAATATATAGTGAGAATGAATTTGATTGATGTTGTGGAGAAAAGCAGGATAGTTTAAAACAGGAATACCCAAATCCCCTGCTATGGCTTGTGGCAATCTACTGTTTATCTCAGAAACACTATTATGAATAAGTTTTATATGTTTTATAGAAACAAGTTCCATTTTAATCAATACCATTATATTTCCTGTTCTATATTCCTAAAATGCAGTTTTGTTTTGTTTTGTTTTCTTTGAGACAGAGTCTCACTCTGTTGCCTGGGCTAGAGTACTATGACATCAGCCTAGCTCACAGCAACCTCAAACTCCTGGGCTCAAGCAATCCTCCTGCCTCAGCCTCCCAAGTAGCTGGGACTACAGGCATGCGCCACCATGCCCGGCTAATTTTTTCTATATATATTAGTTGGCCAATTAATTTGTTTCTATTTATAGTAGAGACGGGGTCTCGCTCTTGCTCAGGGTGGTTTTGAACTCCTGACCTTGAGCAATGCGCCCGCCTCGGCCTCCCAGAGTGCTAGGATTACAGGCGTGAGCCACCGCGCCCGGCCTAGTTAAAAATATTTTAGTCTTTATGAAAAGGTGATTGTAAAATGAGCCAGACCTTCAGATCACAGCAAAAATAAGGTACTTTTGACCTGACTTTGCCTAATCTGATTAAATAAATTTTAGGACAGGCTCTGAAAAATCTTAGAAGGGTTTTGTTTTTTTGTTTTTGTTAGTTTGCCTTAAAGTTAAATGTACATTGATTTGTAGGGTATTTCTTAGAAAAACCTATTACTGAACTAGAACAGAATGTGAATCATTTCTTGCCTGAAATACAAGATTGATGTTTACAGGGCAGTTGTCCAGAATCTTCTGGCTGAATTGGAAGGTATTTCACTCTTCATCACTGTAGGTCCTTTTAACTTTACAAATGTGTTATTTAAAACATAAGCCGTTTTGGTACACAGGAAACCCACATAAAATTAAATTTAAAAATACTCCTGAGAATTCTATGGAACATGAATAGTTTTATAACTTGTAATTTCAAGCAAAACTATCTTTGGTACCTTAAAAAGTATTTTCAGAGATAGCTAATCCAAAATCTGTGATATATGTAAGAGAATAGCATTATTAATATCTTAACTATGGAAGTGCTTGAGCACATAAAAAGCATTATTGCTTTCATTTTCTAAAAGTGAACTAAGCTACAATTTTAAAGCTAGGGAAATCCAGTAGCAGTGTTAAAAGAAATTAATTCTAGGTTAGGAATGTCTGCTTTAATCCCAAATATAACTGGTCTTTAAAAAACTTGTTCTGTTAGGTATATAATTTCTCTGCTGTTAAACTTGGAAGAATTTATATCAGTATTATATACTTTGATTGTTTCTTATGGTATGATTTAAGTGGTGGACTAAGCTAAATTTTCAGACAAGGTCCTTTTTTCTTGTCTTTTACAAAATGACTGTCACGTAGAAAGAGGCTGTGCCTTTGCTATTTGGGTAGGATATTTGTCTGTGATTTCTTATTCTCAGAGCATTCCTATAGGTAGATATGCCACAAAAAGTAGAGTTTGATTCTCTTAAACTATTCTACTAAAATACTATTCATTCAAACTACAATCTACAGAAATAAAAATATAAACCACTCAAAAACTAAAGCATTCAGAAAAGGAGTCTATATGCAAAGAGGATTTGCAAGGGAGTACAAGTTTTAGAAAGACAGGCTTATGAAATTAAAAAATGAAAAATATTTAAAGGAAAAAAACTACAAAATACCAAAGTCACCAAGTTTAGTTATTCTTTTCATGGTGGAATAAATTTTCTCAAATAATTATCATGTCCAAAAAGGTCATCATGTATCTTCAGGCAACAGCATTACCAAAATCAGGGACATAGTTATTAAAGAGACTAACTTACAGGAAAGACTCAACATTTCATTTACTCGGGGAATGAGAACTAGCCAAGGTGATTGTTTTTGTTAATGTTACTTTATCTCATTGTTTTCTTTCAGGTA